TTTAAATACGTCTGAGTTTTAGTAACGCAATTTGTTTCCATGTGTTTTAAAATTAGACTAAACCAAGGCATAAAAGGGAGCTCTCCTCTCCCCTTCCACTGGAGTCCGTGGCGTTTCGAACCTCCGGTCCTCCAGCCCCCGCCTACCTGTAAGCCCGCTCCTCCCGGACGGCGTGCTTTCGGAAAGGGACAAACCTGCCGCTTTCGTCGGGGCTGCGGCTCCCGCTGGGCGACAGGAGGGGTGATCTCGTGGGAGCTGGAGCCATGTCGCTTTTCGGGGTACGAAACGCTGGTGCAGTAACGTTCCTCGGGGGATGACACAAGCAGCTCCCCCAGATCTCACCGATTAGATGCGAGCCCCCGGCTGCCCTGCGAAAGCTGCAGCTGCAGCACCGTGGCTCGCAGACGTACTGCGCTGCCACTGGGTTTTGAGGTGTGCAGAGTGAACTGGAGAAGGAGGAGGTGCCTCCATCTCCGAGTAATCACTCTGGGGAGCACGTATTAAACGCCAGCTTCTAACCCGCCCGCATCGTAACATATTTGTTTAAAAGTCTTGTTTTCAACGATAAATTTAGTTAGCTTGTCAGTCTGAGCTCTTAGGCATCCTTAGGTAATGACTGTTATCATAATATCTACTCATTTAAAAAAATTCAATAGATACCGATAACACCTGAATACAAAAATAATCTGTCTGCAGATAGTTTGTAAAACAATACTAGTTTACAGTACTTATTACACTAGATTGTGGATGTGTTAACACCTGTTATCGCCTAAAACAATACATTACAACCTGCATATCATAAACTAAACCTTAAAAACTGAGGCAAACTACCCACACGTGACATTAATATTTATTTCTGAATCTTCATATCTTTAAGCTAAAGTAAGTTGTTTTTTTACTGTCTACTTAGCTACAGCAGGTGCAGTTTTCCGTGCAGAGGGAAATTAGCCCTCTGTTTCTGCAGTAATTTTCCACAGTTCCACCCTTCAAGTGTCAGACACTTGTCTGAAACCTTTAGGTGTTGCTCAATTTAAAATACTTTCTAATTTAAGTATGCAGCTCTAAAAATTATCACAACATATATATATAGGTTGTATAGGTTTTGAAAGGAATATTTTTAAAAATAAAAAGCTAGAGAAAAAAAAACCCAGAGACTGTTAATCATGATGGCTTCACTCTGTGACACCTTAATGAGAGCAATTTTTTATTACTGAAGTCAAATTTTGCATTCAGCTTTACTTCAGTCTAGCAGCTCTCAGTGTTTAACATTGGCACAGTTTCCTACACAGACACGGGTACTTGTGGCCAGCATTTTAAACAACTCATATCTTCCAATTTTTCAATTAGTTCCTCTCTGGGTAATTTAAAGAGATCTCTGGAGCGAATGTGTGCATGCATTACCATGATGAAAAAGGTCACATTCAAAATAACCTTTTTGTTATTCTCTGCAAAAGAATAAATATACAACATTCATTGACAATCCTGTTATTATCATTTATAAATAGTTGCTTTCTCCTTTTGCAAGCTATCTGCTTCTAGTACAGGTCAAGTATTTACAACTAACAAAACACAGGGATCGATTGTAACCAAAATCCCCTGAAACAAGCTGCCTGGCCATGTTGTTGATGCTGAAACTCTGTCTTCTTTCGAGAAATGACTGGACAAATTCCTAGGATCAATTAGTCACTAATTACCAAGTGAGATGGACAAGCCAAATGGCCTCCTTTCATTTTTATGTTCTCACGAAACCAGAAAATTCATGTTTCCAATAGCATGTCCAACATAATAGAAAACAGCAATACTTGTAACATTTGTACTGTATATATAGTTAAGCAACCAAAATTTATTTTTTGCTGGTAACAATCATTAAATTCATCCTTATTTTTGATGGGATGAATGGACTGACTGCCTCTGATGGATTGATTCTATACTTCTCAATTGAATGTGACAGCACTAAGATTGTGATAGAGGCAATACGATTCTGTTTTACAAAGAGAAAAAAACGTTCAGTTAAAAATATGTAAAAATAAGAAAAAAACTATAATATAGGAAATATATAATCCTGTACCAGCAGTCATAATTATATTTACATGAGATTTTATGAAAATTTGATTACAATACCCTTCATTTAGTTCTTCGCACCTTCAGAATCATATTATCCACAAAACATTTTCTTTTAAATTCTATTTTAAAACATACGTATTAGAGACTGTGTCAGCAGGCTAGAAAAGTAATCACTTCTTTTACTTGATATGAGCAGGAAAATAATCCTCCCAGATTAAATGGAATCGTTCCAGCAATACAAAAAACCACAGCAAATCATGCATCTGTTCTATAACCTTAAACCATGTCAATGTCATGCTGTCCCTGAGATTAGATTTGACTCTTCCCTGTAACAATCACAGCTCCTGTAAGCCCAGTTTCTGCATAAAAAGTCAAATACCTCATTTGGATTACAAATACTATATCCTAAATCCTAAATAGTTTTTTTTGTTTACAGTCCCAGATTTACAAAGATAAGAAAAAGAGTTTTATGGACATGCAATTCGATATTAACAATGACGGATAAAGACTGTTCTGCATGACGTACCATGACATTAAATTCGACCTCACAAAACACAAAAGTAACAAACATGATCAATCAATAAAAAAATATATATAGTATGTACATTACAAATTATTACTAGAATTTGTTCTCTACTGAATTTCTTGACCATCTTCTTTCAATTCTTATATGTGCAGCAGAAGTCCAAAGAATCTTGTTCTACATTTTGCCACTTACGTAAAGGATTTGTATCACAATATCAATGTATTTCTAAATCTTGGGTAGATACTTTAACACATCAATACTTCAAAAGGTATTTTTTCTGTCTGCGTATAGGTTATAAGAAAATAATAGTTGTACAATAATATTAGGGAGCTGAGTCAGCATGTGTAGACTGACACAAGGTGCGGATAAAGGTTAATTTCCCACTGAAAAGTAAAAAGATGAAACACACAGTCTTCCATTTGAACCCTCTTCATTTGTGAGCATGAAGAGGTTTTTGTTCATGTTCACCTATTTGTCAATCAGAGCCCGCACGTTGTTTTAAATATCACAGAGGGAAATTATATAATGCCATAATGTTTGACATTGGCACTTTCAACGCCCCTAAATATAAATATTGAAATTACACACCTATGAATGATTTTATTAAAAAGTACCTTTTTAACAGCTGCATACAGCTCATGTTTGAGTGCCTTGCAAAAGTATTCACCCCCTTCCAATAATGTCTCATGGCAAATGATGTACTGTATACACAGACTGTGAACATGAATGCTCAAATAGAAAACATTTATGGGTAAAAGAGGTTAAATGTCAGAGATGCTAATGAAAAATAAAAAAATTACAATATGCTGGTGGCAAAATATTCTCCTGTGTGAGTCAACACTTGGCTGAAAACCACCTTTGACAGAATTCACAGCTGCAAGTCTTTTTTTGGATTTGTCAGTTAAGTTGATTGGGAATCGCTGATTGGCAGGAATTTTCCATTTCTGCCACAGATTTTCAATTGGATTTACATAAAAACTTTGACTGGGCTATTGCATTTCTTTTTGTTTTACTCCAGTGTAGCTGTGACCTTGAGCTTTGGGTCATTGTCCTGCTGAAAGATTAATTTTTGTCCCAGTTTTCTTTAGCAGACTGAATCTGATTTTCCTCGATTCACCTTTTTTCCTCCATACACTTTCCCCTCAATCTTGACAAGCTTCCCAGTTCCTGCATCCTCATAACACAATGCTACCATCACCATGCTTGACAGTAAGGATAATGTTTACTGAATAATGTATTGTGTTGGGTTTGCATCAAACCTACAGTAATTGTATAAAGACATACTTTTGTACGTCTTTTTTAGTGCAAAAAGTTCCAACGTGGTCTTTTCTGACCAAACGTTTGCCACGTTTGCAGTATCAATTAAATAATGTGCTGCAAATTCCAAGTGGGATATGAAAAGGCTATTTTCGAAACATACTGGCCAGTTTTGTGGAGGGACTGAGATTCTGCTGACTCATGGACATTTTCTCCCATCTCATGAAGCTCCTTGGTCTTCATGTTTCAGTCTACCCTTATAATTTACTTCCCGATTGAGGGATCTTACAGAGATAGATTTATTTTTTTAAAGTCACGTGAACCACTGTTATTGCACACAGACAGAGGTCACTCAACAAGTGTGTGACTTGTTAAAAGTTATTTTATGCAGTGGAAAAAATTTAGGTTTGACATAGCAAAGAGGGTGATACAATCTACATATTTTAGTCTTTGTTTCTCTTTGCGGTTTGTGACGACATTTAATTTTTTTCACTGAAAAGTGTTCAGTCTGAGTATTCAAGTCTTCATTAATTATAAAAGTGTGTATACATCATTTGTAATGTAATTGGAAGGAAGTGAATATTTTTGCAAGGCACTGTATAAAAGTTATAGGACACTTGTTTTCGTATTTGTTTATGTACAAACTATCTTCTATTCATCTTCCAATCCCACTCTCAGTTAAACGCCAGTCTCGATTCTTATACTGTAAATTCTTGTCATGATTGTGGACACAAAGAAACGTGCAAGTTGTGTGGTCGTTTTCCACTAGACTTCTAGTGATTGTTCACTAGATATGCAGAGCATAGCTAGATATTAACCTAGGCCTTCAAGGAGTAAAAGTCAAGTGAATTAATTTTCTGCTTCAGAAGATTTTTATACTCATTTTTCTTAATGCCCTGATTCCACTGAGGTACTGTATGCTGTATTCTTATTACCTACAGCAAGAAGAAAATGCCTTCGGTGGACCTGAACACCTTGATTCATGAGGAGAAGGTTGATCTAGCAATTAATACACAGAACATCATTTTCATTGATGGTGATCATCTTGGTTCTCAGTATGGTCTTTCAATTGTTTCAAACTAAAGTTCTACATTTTATACACTTCTTTAGCACAGCTGTTAGTCTTTTGTACCAACCATACTCAGCTTTTCAGTACCGTATTGTGGCTCAATATAATCTATTAACATATGCAAGCTAATTTCTTTATGCAAGTTACTAGCATGACAAACTATAGTGATCTTCCCCAGAATCGACAAAAAGGTTAATCAATTACTCTTACGCTCCACTTCTGTTATAATACATTCAGTGAAAGAAAAATGTCTTAATATTTATAGCGTTTTCCAAAAACGACCCTGCTTTTTACATGGGCATAAATCATGTCTCAGAAATTAGTGGTTCTGAAAGAACCACTGTGACAGATTGAAACAGACCTGAATCACAGGACAGCAGGCAGCTGAATGACAAAAAACATACATCAAGATACAGTAAATATATCTGTATACAGTATGTATTGTGAATCATTCACTATTCACTCACTGACACCACTGTAGTATTCCTGCATGTAAA